ATAAAGAATCATCTGATGGCACTAAGTGTTCTCATTGTGGAGGTAACAAACATACTCGAGATACCTGTTTTAAACTTCATGGCTATCCAGATTGGTGGACAGAATTTCAGACTCGAAAGTGTCGCGATACAACTGATAGCAACTCGGGAAAAGTTGCAGTAGCTACTACCGAACCACATCTTTCCCTCATCCCGAAATCAAGTTCCCACACCAGTGAAGGTAATGTTCTAATTTGCTCTAATCATGATGATGCCTCTAATGCATGGATACTTGATTCCGGAGCGACCGATCATATGACGTTTGATGCTGCTGATTTTTCTGAATGTTCAGCCCCTCGGTGCTCAAGTATTGCCAACGCAAATGGTGGTTTATCCCCGATAACAGGGGCTGGAACTGTGATGTTATCACCAACCCTTTTGCTTTCAAATACACTACTTGTTCCCTCTCTATCTCATAAGCTGTTGTCCGTGAGTCAAGTTACAAAAGACTTGAATTGTATTGTGCTAATTTATCCATCTTTCTGTTTCCTTCAGGATATTCTCATGAAGGAGATCATTGGGCGTGGTACTAAGAGAGGGGGACTCTACTATATGGAGGATTTTAGTGTAGGTTGAGCGCATCACATGCATTATCCAAGAAACAATAAAATGGAGCAAGTTTTACTTTGGCATCGTCGATTAGGCCATCCTTCGTTTGGATATCTGAAGCATGTGTTCCCAAATTTATTTTCAGATACATCTTTGTTGAACTTCAAATGTGAAGCTTGTATTTTAGCCAAGAGTCATCGAGTCACTTTTCCATTAAGTATGAATAAAAGTAATGTTCCTTTTGCTTTAATCCATTATGATGTATGGGGTCCATCCCCAAAATCTTCTCTCTCTGGTTATCGGTGGTTTGTGATATTTGTTGATGATTGCACTCGAATGACTTGGATTTATTTGTTGAAACAAAAAAATGAAGTGTTGCACATATTTCAACAATTCCATAAAATGATTCAAACTTAATATTCAAAGAAGATTCGGATCCTTCGCTCTGATAATGTTGGGGAGTTTGTAAACCACCAATTCCATGGGTATTTCAAAAAACACGGTCTTATTCATGAAACCACGTGTCCACAAACTCCACAACAAAATGGTATTGCAGAACAAAAAAATCGTCACATCCTTGAAACTGCTCGTGCTCTCTTACATGGAGCACATGTGCCTCACCACCATTGGACTGACGTTGTTACTACAACAGTATATCTCATTAATCGGATGCCATCAAAGGTTCTTGACTTTAAAACTCCATTGCAGACCTTGTCGACACTTGTACCACTGCCTACAATACAAATGTTGCCACCTCGAGTCTTTGGTTGTGTTGCGTTTGTTCACCTACATAAAAACCAGCGTACAAAGCTTGATCCTTGTGCCATTCGCTGCCTTTTTTGGGGTATGGTGTACACCAGAAAGGGTATCGTTGCTATGACCCTATTACTCGACGCATGTATGTAACAATGGATGTTACATTCTTGGAATTCGACCATTTCTACTCCTCGGCATCATCCAATTCTTCTCTTCAGGGGGAGACACCAAGAGAAGAGTCGAATTGGTCAACATTTGACTGGTTCAAGGATATTGATATATCATCAACTGAAGCTTGTGATGATTCTGGTCAAACTCAAACTGATCATATGAGTCCTGAAGTTTAAGTATCGTAATTCCCCCCCTCTCCAGTACCGAACGATCCATCTCCTGAGAATATCATTGAGGTGAGCTCTCCTATATCTCCTAATAATAATAATGGTGATATCTCTGTTAGATATGAATTACCGTGCAGGCATAATCGGGGAAAACCACCGAAGCGATACTCCCCTGAAGAAGAGGATCATAGATCTAGGTATCCAATTTCTAATTATGTCTCTATGAAGGACTTGTCCGAACCCCTTAAGAAGTTTTCAAATGAGCTATCTTCACACAGTGTACCTAGCAAGGTTGAAGAGGCCATTGAAGACCCTATATGGGTTCAAGCTATGAATGAAGAAATGGAGGCATTAAACAAGAATGCAACATGGACTCTTGTTCCTTTGCCAAAAGGGAAGAAATCAGTAGGGTGTAAGTGGGTTTTCTCTATCAAGTACAAAGCTGATGGGTCTATTGAAAGGTACAAAGCAAGACTAGTAGCTAAAGGCTTTACTCAAACATATGGCGTAGACTATCAAGAAACTTTTTCACATGTTGCCAAGTTAAGCACTGTCAGAGTTCTTTTATCCCTTGCAGTAAATCTTGATTGGCCTTTGCATCAGTTAGACGTAAAAAATGCCTTTCTCCATGGGCACTTGAAAGAAGAAATATATATGGATATCCCTCCGGGATACATGACAAATTATGAAACGAAGGTAGTGTGTAAATTACAACGCAGTTTGTACGGCTTGAAGCAATCTCCTAGAGCGTGGTTTGGGAGATTGAACTTGGCAATGAAAAATTATGGCTTCCAACAAAGCAACGCTGATCATACGTTGTTCTTGAAACATCGTCAAGGTAAGGTCATGGCCTTGATTGTGTATGTAGATGATATGATAATTACGGGAGATGACTCTGAGGAAATAGCAAAACTTCAAACACAACTGGCAACCGAATTTGAGATGAAAAATCTAGGTGGACTCAAATATTTCCTAGGTATCGAAGTTGCTAGGTCGAAGAAAGGCATCTTTCTATCTCAACGAAAATATATCCTGGATCTTTTATCAGAGGTTGGGCTACTAGACTGTAAACCTGTAGACACTCCAATTGTCCAGAATCACCGACTTGGAGAATATCCAGAGCAAGTGTCAACAGACAAAGGAAGGTACCAGAGATTAGTTGGCAAACTTATTTATTTATCTCATACACGACCTGATATAGCGTATGCGGTAAGTGTAGTAAGCCAATTTATGCATAACCCGAGTAAAGATCACATGGACGCGGTAATTCGAATCATGCGGTATCTGAAGTCCTCGCCTGGAAAAGGCTTGATGTTCACAAAGAATAATCATGTACAAGTTGAAGGCTATACAGACGCTGAATGGGCAGGAGATATCACCAACAGGAAATCCACCTCAGGCTATTTTACGTTTGTTGGAGGAAATTTGGTTACATGGAAAAGTAAGAAACAAAAGGTTGTAGCATTATCAAGTGCCGAAGCAGAGTTTCGAGGGATGGCTAAAGGTCTTTGTGAACTTCTCTGGCTTCGAAGACTGTTAAGTGAAATTGGCCATGCTCCGAATAATGCCATGAACCTTTTTTGTGACAACAAGTCTGCAATTGAAATTGCTCATAATCCGGTCCAATATGATCGGACAAAACACGTGGAAGTAGATCGACACTTTATTAAGCAAAATTTGGAGACCAAGATAATTCAATTTCCGTTTGTTAAATCTGAAGATCAATTAGCAGATATACTCACAAAAGCTGTATGTAGCAGAGACTTCTACAACGCACTTGACAAGTTGGGCATTCGAGATCTCTATGCACCAACTTGGGGGGGAGTGTTGGCATTAGCTGTCAGCATGGTTTTAGGAATTATAATAGGAATAGAGTTATTATTTGTTAATTATTCTGATTTGGTCATAATTAGAAATATGATTTTCTATGTATATAAGTATAACCTATTCCTCTCCTGTAAGAACAAAAATATATGAGATTTACGTATCAGTTTAACACAACCATTTCTTCCTTTTCCCAAAGAAGCATTAACACCAATATCGTCAATTCAATCGATTGGGCTGCCCACCAATAACCCTATCAACACAAACAACACAATCAAACTACAACATGGACAACAAATTCAATTATGACGACGCGTTAATGGTGATGATACGGAAGACTGTGTAGAGTTACAAAATAAAATCTTAGAGATGATGGTGATGGTGATACTCCAAAAATTTCATAGAATTGTACGAGAAATGATACATAGGAGGTGTAGGAGCGATGACCTGAACGATGAAGCGGGTACGTGTAAAAATGGATAAACGAAGTTATGTCAACTTCATTTCATTTCATGTCTACCTCTCGTTTTCTACCATAGTCCTCGAGAAAACTCCCCTTCCACCTCTCGTTTTCTACCTCACCGTGCTGCCGCAAACATTCCAACAGTTCCGGCAACCACAACACATCTCATGAATTCACCGATGAGTAACCTATTACTAATTTCACAAATTTTTATATAGGGTTTTAGCAAATTCAATATCGAGAATTCGTTCTCTGTTTGTTAAAATGACGAAGTTGTTTGATTCTTCAAGGTTAATATTGAAATTGTTTGGTTCTTCGTTTCTCAATAGATGGATTCTTCATGGTTTTACAGATATCATGATTGAAACAAAGAGAACAAAGGAGCACCGATGAGAAACGAAAAATGTTGTTATGGTTATGCCTAGAAGATTCCTGAGGCTAAAATCGAAGCTACTTTGAATTTCTTGGCATTAAAGTGAAATTATATATACAATGAATACAAAATCTGAAAATTCAACAAACTTTATCCAATCTGATCGTAGCATTGAAGTGAGATTTTTTAGTTTGAGAGTATTTTATTTAGCCATATGATTTGTATGTATAACATTTGATACTTAAAAAGAAAGTAAACTCTATGAACCACAAACATACCATATACGACTCAAATATGTTGATATTGGTAATAAATAAAATGAATATAATTACATCTGACGCATAGATATCAATAATAAATTTCAAAAAATGAATGTAATAAAAAATGTCAGTGCTAGAGTGGATAAACCCCTCGTGTTTACAACCATTTTCTTTTGCTTCTCCATTGTAGGCGAGTCTTCCTCTCAATTTCATTGGATTTAGGTTTTTCCCATGAGTTTGACGGGTAAAATGTACTATGTTATACATGGAAATAGTTCTGTGAAGCTTTGTTTATCTGCACATGATCACCTAATTACTACATTATTTCCTACCATTCATCTATTCTAGTGAGCCTTGAAGCCACAGCATCAAAATTGTTTCTGCATCCAAGATAACCAACTATAAACCAAGAAGCACATAGTAGAGTGTTGTTATGGGCAATGAAATCAACATTCCAAATATAACCCTGCACAAATACCAAATTCCTTTTTAGTATTATTTTACTAAACTAGAAGGATTTTCTTATATTAGAGATTTAAACAAGACTCACCCAACACTTAGTATATCTGAATGGAGATTGTATTCTTTGGCATACACGAAGGGAACAATACCCTGAGGAAGGGCTGCCTGCAAAAATTAAACATTATGTTAAAAAACTACAAAGAAAAATTAAGTACCTTAATCATATTTTGATAAAGGGATTTGAATTTAACCTGAACAATTGCAAAATGTAAGAGAACTCCGCGGAGGCCAACTGCTAATGAGGTTGCTGCAGTCACAGCAGGAGCGGCCAAGAACCTCACAGCCATAGAAAATGTTGCAACTCGTTTTCCACATAGAATCAGCTTAGGCTGTAATGCCATGGACAAACCTAGACTAAACATGGCCAATCCAAGACCACCATTAGCTAGTATTGAGAAGCAACCTTGTACAATTAAGGGCATTTCAATGTGCCACCTACAGAGATGGTTTGACATTGTAAAAAATCTTGAACATTTTCAACGATTCAATGTTATAATGAATTGATTGACAATATAAAAATCCATATACTATATAGAAGATAATAGAAGATTTTTATACCTAAATGCTATAAGAGACCAAACAAGTCCTATAACACTTGCATACGTATTAGGATTTCTTATGAGTTTTCTCCAAACCATGCTGAGGATAAGTCTTGCTATCACAGTTGCTGCTGGCATATGTTTGTTTTTGTTTACAATCCCTGCGTCCTCAATTCCATCACCCCCTTCTTCACTACACGTGTTCTCAATCAATTCATTAACACCTGCATTTCGAAAAATTGCCAATACTTGTGTTACAAAATTATTAATCAACAAAACATAATAGAATTAGAAAGCATTTGATTTGGAGAGGGTAAAAACACCATTATTATCAAACAACTCACCGATAAGACTCATCTCTTTCCTCTTATTTATCTTCAAATTCCCATCTTCCAAATTCAAAGACCTTGGTGTTTCCCCTATCGAATAAACATCACCACTAATATCATTATCATTACTCGGAAAACTATTCATTTGTTTAATACTAGTAGAAGCTCTTGGTGTTGGTTCTCTTGATGATGGAACTGAATATATCTCAACACTGCTGAGATTTGAACGAGATGTGTTAAATGATGCTGATAACGTAGAGCCAGTAGTTGATCTTCTCACAACAACACGAATTTTACCATCTTCTCCTATCTCAGCATCCGTTTGAAGTGGCTCTCTACCGTTAAGCGAAACAATATCAGGATCAACTTTGACAGAAGTTATAGATACTGCATTTTCAGGAAATTGTTCTGAAATAAGAAGCTTAGCAGCTCTATATTCAAACAAGAAAAGCAGAACCGTGCACCAAATAACAGCTTGCATAACGACAATTTGTATCATGAGAGTTCCTGAGAAATCACCATACATAGCTTTTAAAAGAGGGACTCCAACGACAAGTGAGTTAGGAAGAGATGAAAGAGAGAAAAGTGTTATAGTCCAATCAAAACTATCTTGTATTTTTGAGAACATGTTCCATAGAAAAAGAGCAACAAGGATAACTACTTTTTGAAGTGTATCAGCTGCTAAGAAACGGAAATTCATAGCATATGGATCATTGGAAGCTATAAAATGGAAAGCGAGTAACGGAACTGCGAAAACTGCGATAAAACGGTTTATTCCAGAACATTGATCAGGTGTGAAGATTTTCCACCAACGAACCGAAGCATATGCTAATAACATAGCAGCATATAATGGCACAATCGCTGTGAAAATATCGTATATATCTTTAACGGTAATCATGGTTATAGATTAGATATGTATTGTTAGTTCTCTATTATGGAAGGTAGCACCCAAGTTTTCAATCAAATGAAGAATTGTTGATTATAAACGTTCATGCAATTGGGGAGTATTCATTGATCTTCTGTAGCAGCAAAGATATTTGTGAAAAATGGTTGTAATGTAGAGATTAAATGAGAGAGAACATAAATAGTTTGATTAGCATACCATAAAAACGATAGAGGCTTAAAATAGAAACTTGACAAAGGGGATTCAAACTATTCTTGTAGTATAACATAATGCCAACAAACTGTTGAGTGACAACGTTAATTAATTGTTTGTTTTAAGACTTGGGCTACCGTTTACGAGCAAATAATATCTGGCATGGTGCATACTTGGAAAAAATTTGTTATACTCCTATAATTATACCTCGAATCCTATATATATATATATATATATATATATATATATATATATATATATATATAACTTTACCTTTTCTTTTCTATTTGACTTCATCTCTACAAAATATTTTGTATTATGCAATTTTATTTGAAAATTTATCCACTGCTTGAATGCGACTAATATTAAGATTTTTTTATATTCAAATTATCGGAAAACTTAAAGAAAAGATTTCCAGGAATTTTCCGTGTATAATACTGAGTTTCCCGCATTAAAATTTTAAATCAGAAAATTTGAAGAGATTTTTGAAACAAAATTATAAATAAGATTACATGCAAAAAAAAAAAAACTAAATGGTGTATTTTAAATTATATTTACAAGTGTTTCAACTTTCAATTGAAAGTTCTCTAGACAATAAATGTAGCCAGATTATTCAAGTTTCCAATCTTATGAAATTATAATTTGTTATGGAATTCATCCTGGGGCAAAATCTAAGGTTTTTATAGAAAAAAAATTATACACCGAAACACTCCAATAAAATATTTCTAAAAATTTATGCACAATTTAATTGTGGTTAGATTCTTTAAATTAACGATAAAAAATCCATATAAATGATAATGCTTTTTACACATTATCCAATGGTAAATATCTAATGTATTTCAAATTGAAAAATTGGAAAATAATATTAGTTTTATTTTTGTTAGTACGAAAAGTTGAATTCACAACTTTTATTTATCATTTTCAAACAATAATTTATTTTGAGAATTTCTTATGACATCTTATATAGAGAAATTTTTTTTTATGAATAATTATGAAATTTATTATTATATTTTTATTAATTATGTTTTTTCTGTTATTTATCTGTTTCTGGTTTTTAGTATTAACGATTTTTTTGGAAATGTACTTTCGGTTTTCAGTTAGGGTATAACCGAAAATATATTTCTGGTTTTCATTCTGTCAGCATATAAGATGTGTGTGGTCTATAACATCCTCAAACAACTATATATGAAACTCATCCCTCATGTTATCTCATGTCTAAACACTAAAACAAAAAATGAATATCATTTGACATGTTGGAAATGTTCACTTTGTTACCGGGGATCTACCAGGAATTCTATACCAACAAGTACGAACCGCTTGAAGATCTTCATTACACAATACATAGACTTTTATCATTTGACGACAATTGGAAAATTTTGAAGATTGACTACCGCTCTCCATACATTAACATCGACGGAAAGCTTGAGTTCATAAAAAAGAGATAAAGACAAGCACTGATTTCCAGGTAATGTGGGAAACCTTTTTCGGTTACGACGAAAAAGTTCAAATCGAGTTTGATGTGATGATTACAAGAACGGTCGATGAAATTGTGAAGCTGTTGCAACGTCCACCCGAATGTTGAAGTGTAATGTCGCATATATGTTTAAATCCCATATGTATTGCTTACTTTATGTAATTTTATCCTTTGTTTGGGAATCTTGATGTAATGTGTAAGTGCTACTTTTCAGCATTCTGTAATGAATAATACCGGAAATACACTTTCGGTTATAAACCGGAAAGGTATTTCCAATTTTGGTTATTATTAATTAGATATTGGCGCGTCCCGAAAATACATTTCCAGTTTCTACGGACATATTTAGAAATTCACGTTGGTGCCTAAGAAACACTTAATGTGCATTAAGAAATTCTCTTTATTTTTGTTTACAACTCATGTTAGTTATGAGTTGAGTTGCGAATTCACAATTTATCCACAGTCTCACTATGGCTAAATGTATAGAAAACTTCATTCCATGAGTTTTTATGGATAATTCAAAAATTGTGTTAGCCACGATCAAAGTCAAGATTATACATATGTATGTTTTCCTCCTATCCATATATACACTAGAATATCTGTTGGCCTAAGAGTTGATCTTTCTTTCCGTGGGTCAGTCAAGAAATTTATAGGCGCCTCTTTCTTCAGAGATGCCCATGCACGCCTAAATATATCAAATATGACACCCCTAACAAAGTCATATCGGTATTTGAATCTTGGAAGCTTTTTTGCAATGAATAGTATGTTCCCCAAATGTATCCAAGCACGCCTCGCGGAAAATAGAGCAAACCTCATCAATGAGAAATAAGAGAATTATAAACCGACATTTAAGGATGGTACGATACTCTATTGGAGATATATGTTTTCCTAGACCTTCAATATGGATAACAAGGAGAAAATCTTGAGCATGTGATACTTGTAAACAATCAAAAATAGCTTTATGTTTTGTGGTCATATCAAACTTTACTTCCATATCCTGAACACTTTTACTAAAAATGGCACTCGCCAAAACATGTTGTGCTTTAGGAGGGAGGATGTCCTTTCTAGTAAAACCACTATGGTCAAAATCTAGAATCACAACACTAAGATCATCCAAAACTCTACCGAAATCAAGATCCATATCGTGTACCCCACCGTATCTCAATATATGATCCTATAACACCCAAGACTTAGCCCTAGAAGCCACAATCTCGTATGAGGTTGCCTCTACTATTGAGTACAAACCCAATTCCTCAATCCTAATAGGTAAAGAAGCCACCATCCATTGAAAGTCCCCGAAAAAGGGACATCCATTAACCACAATGTCTTCAACCGCTATTCATAACTCTTTATCAAACCAAATATTTGTTTTCTCCATATGATTAGGTTGATATGTTCTAAGTGTCATAACTGATTAAATTTAATGAAGTCGCCACCATTATTTTTTTATCTTAAGGACGAGAAAGATAACGAGAAAATCCTAAAAGTATGGATAAGACGATCGTTGTGATCAAGTTAAGAGTTCAGGAAGTCAATTAAGTGAGAGAAAGGTGTTAGGTACCTCTCACATCCCTTGTACTCAAGGGGAACCTTCTCTAATCTTAGGTGTAGTGGTATAAATGTTCAAGACTAAGCCATTGGATTGACTAGACTTTATACAAATCAAAATAAAAATCGCCACCGCGCTTTATTGTTTCCAAAGGAATGGGAAAAGAGCGAATAACCCAAAAAGAGGGGGAAAGATTCAAGGTAAGGGGGTTGGTTATGCAAAGGGAAGGTATAAGCACCCTAAACATCTACGGTACTCCGCAGGAGCCTTTTTGTAAAATCTGTATAATTTGGCTATAAAAAATGTTGTATATATAAAAAAAAATGGATGGTGCAGGTGAGGAAAGAAATATATTTATTTTTATAATTTTTGCACCCGTCGCGGTTGCGAACCTTTAGTGCCTACATACCACATTTTCTTGCAATAGGGGATCAGGATACGCGTAGTTCCTCTTTTAAAAACTTAAAACATAAATGCGTTGGTTAATTTTATGAGATGAAACATCATTGTTATTGTCCGTATGGAAAACATACCTACTATCCACAATCATGAGAAAGGAGAATTTGCATCATCTCAAAGTGGAGGATATGGCTTGGATTTTAAAAATCAACAATGCCTCACTCATCACCCAAGTGGAAAATATCTCTCTTTACTACATATTGTAGAAGTATAGTTGTTTGCATCACTACAAGGATTGACAAGAGTTCAACCTTTTTTTATAGAAAAGTTTAAAGATAAAAGCCAAGGTGGCAAAATGGTTTGAAATGAGATTGATTGACTTTTAGTCTTCTCACAAAAAATGTCAAGGCATTATTAAGTTGATTGGAGTTTATTTATGAAAAATGTTTTGAAAATGCATGGACATAAGTCCAAGTTTATTATGAAAGTGGTTCAAGTTCAAAAAACAAGAAGAGTTTTCAAAAAGGGAAAGAAGATTTTTGAAATTAAAGAAGATGGGAGGAGAAGAAGGGACTATCCTAAATCATAAGGTAAAAGTTAGGGATAAGAACCATCTAACTAACAAGAAACCAATACTTGACATTATGAGCCAAGATAGAATTCCAATTCCTTGGATTGAAACCAATCAAGCAAAGGAATCTCATATGCGATTGACGTTTCCTCTGATGACATCTTTAAGCTCATCCTCCGTCATCAACCTCCAAATGGCATCTATAAGCCCATTCCCGATATCGCAATACAAGTACCACTTCATGCGAGTGCAAATTTCTGGGCACTCTAGTGTTCAATCATCTTCCACCTTCAGATCACGAAAGGCAGACAAGCCAATCTACATCCTCAGGTTTAAGAAGATTGAACAGGGGCAGCTGTTGTACCCCAAAATTTTCCCTCCCATATTTCTCAATAAATTTCAAGTGAGGTCCTCAAATTGCTCAAGGAAGTCTAAGGGTTGACCAGACAAATTCTCTCCTAAGACAGTCTACCTCAAATTAGGGTTTCAGTTTGCATCAAGGTACTTGAGTCCAAAGGATCCCAAATTCTCACCATTGTCCTAATATGTCCTCAAGATCATCCATGTCATGTTTCAAGCCTTACAGAGGAAATTTGCTCAGTCAATTGCTCAAAGGCCTGAAAATCGACCGTGCTTGGGCAAAAGTCAATTGTGTCCTACATACAGTCAAACTTCAAGATTTTTGGTCAACATCCTCATTTTGAAGTATTATTCATCATTTGATCAAGGGTTGATCATGATTCCTCAAGTATTGCTCATAATTCATCAAAATCCAAAAGTTGCTAAATTAGGGTTTTGTAGGAAAAGTCAAC